ACAAAAATAACATTGGAAAGGTATGAGTGGGTGCTTAAAATTCTTCAACTTGAACCACTTCCTAAAATCTGACCAAATATCAGATTTTTTTTTTTTAAAAGATGTTTTTACTCAAAAAAAGTGGCTAATAGAAGGAGAAATGTTTGACATTTGGTAGGGGTGGAATTCTCAATCTTCAATAAATGAGATGGATTGGAAAAATCATTTAAAAGTTAATAGAAATAAAAAATTAATAACTGGGAAGATCTTAAGCTCAAGGGGATTGGAAAATTTCCTTAAAAAAATACCCACCCCCTTCCATTAAGGCCCATGATTCCTTGGGCAAAAAACATTTCAGCATCCATAATAAAAAAAAAAAAAAAAAAAAAAAAAAAACTATTGTCTTCAGATTATGACAACTATTACATTAACCAAACTTGTAAAATGGAACAAGCAAAAAAAAAAAAAAAAAAAAAAAAAAAAAAATTCAAGTAAATAATAAATTTGAAAATGGAATGAAAGATTAAAATATTATTTTTCAACCTGAATTTCTTTTGCTATTATATTTTAAATTAAATTTCATGTCTAATCAATTGTTATCCAATAATAAAAATAAGCAAGAAAAATTGAGATTTTTTGTGTAGTCCTACCAAAAGCTAACCAGTTTTATTTCTTTTTATGCATATCCTTTTTTAGGAAGGGGTTGATTATGGTTCACTGAACTTATTCTCTATCTGCTTACAAGCCATTTGTAAAGGTTATAGTTTACTCTAATGTGTAAATCAACCTTCTTCCAAATATGACAGGTTAAACTTTTAGTAATTATCCACATCTTAATATCCAATTCACCTTAAAAAAAAAAAAAAAAAAAAAAAAAAAAAAAACACCTTTTCCTATTTTTAAAACCAGCAGGACTTAAAGAACAACAGTTAACCTTGCCCCCTTTTTGTTGCTGTCAGTATGAGCCATCAGCAACTTTCATGTCATATGAAGTCATCAGTACCTTCCTGTCCCAGCCATTATCTAAAATGTAGAGGAAGAAGAAACAAAGGTGTAACTTCAAAAACCCTATTCATACCTTTGAATGGAGTTAACCTCTTCAAATCAATCACTGACTCCATTAATGTACATTTAGGAAACTTTATTTGAAGCAGACAAGTGAATGTATTAAGAAAAAAGGTGAAAGTTTAGGGAAGACTCAGGGAGAACGGAAAGGAAATAAAAACCAAGGTATCAAATAAGAGGTCTTAGATATGTCAATGTTAAATTGGAATAGCTATTATTCATTCAGAGCAGTGTCTCTCAACCTTTTTAAGCAATGGCACACATAGGAGCAAATGAAAATATCACACCACACTTAGCAAAATTTTTAGAGGTATATATGAATTTTATTCCAATGTTTCTATTCAACTATTTGTGCAGCTTATTTAGTGTGAAACCTGTGCCTGGTGTTTTTTTTTATGATTTCTTCAATGCAGTGACAACAGCAATTGAGAATCACTGATCTAGAGAATATAAATTCTACTTACCACATACTAAAAATATCACAAAGTGGAGCTTAACCAAACTCTTAAAATTAACAAAAATATTTAAAAAATACTAATAAAAATATTAAAAGATAAAAAACATACTAAAATATTAAAAAAAAAAAAAAAAAAAATATACATAAAAATACACATAAAATAATGAAAATACTAATTTTTTTAATTTGTCACTAAGCAATACATACTTGAATGTTACAGAGGAATTTTGTTTGAATGCCAATAAGATTCTAAGTTTAGAAACTAGACTATTTTTCACTTCTTTTTTTCTAAGTACTGTAATATGACCTCATAAGGTCTACATTGATATAGGGTATCACTGTTGAATATGGTTGAAAGAGAACAAGCTGTGGTCTGGTGATAGGAATTTAAGTGTTCTTAAAAGTGCCTATGAAAGAGGATATTTGGCCATGTAGATTCAGTCTAATTTGTTAGCTGTTGGGGTGGACCAGAGTGGGCAGAACTAACCAAAAATATAATAAGGGTCAAATTTTACTTGGGTCTTCCCAATCTGTGATTTGACTAAAGAAACCTTATCTCTTACTCAAACTTATTCTTACACTAATCAAACTTTTATATAAAGCAAGAACTAAATTAAAAAAGAAAAAAGAAAAAAAAGACTAAAGATGTTTCAGTTGTATTTCAGCAATCCTACCACTAAGACAATGACCTCTGACCTCCAAAGAAATAAGATATAGCAGCTAATTACATTGGTATTCTAAGAAATATTAAGTAGTTTATGGTGTTGATGTTTATAGAAAAAAGAAAGTATTAAATTGATTTTTTTTTTTAACTAATGCTCATCCAACACAAGGCCCAAGGGCAACTCAAGGTAGAGGGCTACTGAGTGGTATAAGAGAGAACAAGATAATAGGAAATATAAACAGCTAATTCTAGACTTGAAGAGGTCAAGATTTATTTAGTGAAATAAATTTCAGAGTTCAGGTGGAGATGTTAGAAGTACAGATTTGAAGGAACCAAAAACCCAATTCTAAACAGAAACAAAGGATCAACTTCTGCTCATGTTAACAAAAAAACAAAGAGGGTACAAGCCAGACAATAGGTGAGCCTATTTTAACTTGGTTTTATGAGAGCAGATTTGCTGAAATGTTTTTTGTTATTTGGAAATATAATGACTTTGGTTTGGTTTCAAAAACATCTTACAAGAATCATTGTCTTTTATTAACTCTTTATTCTATGCCTTAATCTGGTCAATATTCTCATTGCATTTACTAACATTTCAGCCATTGTAGCCTCCATTTGAAACATTGTGAATTTAACAATCAAGATAAGAATGCTGATCTGAATATAACATAGAATAATTATTCATAAAAAAGAGAAAGGGGGGAAAAAAAAAAAGAAAAGGGGGAAAAAAAGAAAGGGGGAAAAAAAAGAAAAGGGGGGGAAAAAAGAAAAGGGGGAAAAAAAAGAGAAAGGGGAAAAAAAAAAAAAAAAGAGAAAGGGGAAAAAAGAGAAAAAAAAAGAAAAGAAAATTATTTCACCTGATCCATTTTTAATAATTTTTTTAATCCATTTTTTTTTTGTCACAGCCATGTTTTTTTAAGAATCTCTATTGTCTTTCATTGGTAATTACAGTTGTACCTCTTATAGACAAGTTTTCATCTCTATTTTACCTTGCAAAGTTTTAGTTATTTTCTACACTAAGAAATTAAATATTTCTTGCATTAGAAAGAAATTGATGATTACAAATAAAATTTTTCAACTCCCTGACTTTGAACACCTACTCTTTATATTGTGTTTCAAACCATGGAATTGTCAGTGGTTGAGACAGGATTGTCAGTGGTCAGGAATTAAATCAGAATTTACTGATAAAATAAGGATTTTGTATAATGGTTAATTAGCTCGACTTATCACAGTTGATCAAATGATATGAAAGGCAAGTAATTTTTCGATGATAAAATGATCAAAAATCAACAGGTGGGATTGTTAATTGTTGATTATAGCATAAACATCATTCATAACGGTGGGTGAAATTTTTTCTTTTAATTGACGACTTCTGAGATGAAATTTAGGGATAGAGTCAGATAAAATATTTTTTTTAATTAAAAAAAAAAAAGAAAAAAGAAGAGGGGGGGGAACTTTTCACATGGATTGAAGAAAATTAAGAATTTCACAGTTCAAAACCTGGCACATTTGTCCTTAAGTGAAATCAATATCTTGGGTCACTATTTTCTATGGAGGTTGACCATTGACTAAGCCAACAACATTCCATTAGGAAGAATGGTAAGAAATTCCTTGCAAGGACAAACCAAAAATATAACTGAATAAAATAAAGTGAGAATTTCTTTCTTTTCAAACTCAATAATACATAATATATTAGAAACTCAATAAGATTTTTTTTCTAATTTTTTAAAAATGAAACATTTTTAAATTAAAAAATTAATAAAATATGTGAAAATAAAAAATAAAAAATTAAAAAAATAAAAATGGAAAAACTAAAAATAAAATTTTTTTTAAAAATTTAAAAAATAAAACAAGAAAATAAGAAGTAAAAACACAGAACTCAAAATTATAAACACAAAAGTCATTTCACAACAAAACAATAAATGCATTCATTTACTTCATTTTAAAAGTTTCAATCGTAAATAAATATTGTAGTTTAAAGATTTTAATTTTTTTTTTTTTTTTAAACATTTCACCTCAAATAAGACAAATCCATTAAGATGCAAGGGTTTACTGAGTGTGAGAGAATATGAGAACTACAAAATGATAAAACCTTGCTGCTAATCTAGTAGTATGCTCAAATTCATGAAGTCTAGGTACCAAAGAGGAAAGCCCATCAGAACAATTACCATAAAAATATTTATAGAAAAAGAGAAGTTACCTTTCAGCAGTTGGAAAGTGACTGAAGCTGAGATGCCAGGTCATGACTAACAACATTGCAGATTCTATGTATTTTATCAAGAATCTAAATACATAGAAGCACCAGACCAGATGTGGCAGCAGTATTCTTCAGACATTTTGGCAATGTTTTTCTTAGATTCTTTTTTATAGGATAAGTTTTTAGACTTGTATAAATTCAAATCAGATTGTTTTTCTGAATTACTGCCAGTTTCATATATAAGTCTCTGGGATAGTGTGTGTGTGTGTGTGTGTGTGTGTGTGTGTATATATATATATATATATATATATATATATATATATATATATCAAAAAATGTTCAATAGATTTATCAAACATCTGGATATGATGATCATTTTGATGCAAATCTTTTAAGTCAGTTAACCAGGTAAGTCACTTGAACTTTTCTTCATTCCTTAGAAATCATTATTATTTACAAATGAATAAGATTGCAGAACTAAATATCTTTTTTTCTTCTTCTCAGGAAAAGAGAGAGAGAGAGAGAGAGAGAGTTAACTTGACTATGGGTACCGAACTCATGGCTTTCTTGAAGCAATAATGTAAATATTAAAAAATAAATAAAAATAAAATTAAACTTTTTTTTTTTTTTTTACTTACAGATTATAAATCTTGTAATGGTCTTTATGTTTCATATCAAAAAATCTGAAAAAGAAAATAAAGAATTATTGGTTATGGATAGAGTTTATGGCACATATGAAAATAAAACAGCATGAAGAAGTGTTTATGTTTTAAAATGCAAAATGATATTTGCAAACAAGGAAGTTCAAATTCCACTCAAGACAGTTTCTGTTCACTCTGCACTAATGCCCTTGGGGAATGTAAGAATTCATCTCATTCCCAGTTGTAGATGAAATAGTAGACAAAGCTATTTTTGCTTTGATAAGACAACCAATCTTGGAGAAGGGAAAATTTGAATTTGAAACCTGGATGGGCTTGAAATACCATTCAATAAAAACCTACTTGTTACTGAACCTGCAGCTGAACCTTGTATAGTGTTGTGATAGCCCTATGCCCTCCATGTTTCAATAGAAATTTAAAGAGACTTTTTGTATCAATGAAGTAATATAATTGTTCAACTATTTATAGATATCTTTCATGGTTAATAAAATTGAATCAACAAGATGAGTTCAAATTCAGCCAGAGACAGTTTGTGTTCATTTTGCAATAATGCCCTTGGGGAAAATAAGAATTCATATCCTCTCCTCATTCTTACAACTATGAGTTAATTAGCAGGACAAACTGGGCTTTCCAGACATAGTTGGCAACTAGTCTTTGAACTCCAAAAACAGCCTAAAGAATGATTGGCTCTGTCAGGCTACAGTATTGCTGCTCCAATGATCCCCCGTAAACAGTTTAAATATGAAAAATAAACATTAATAAACATTAACAAAAAAAAAAAAAAAAAAAAAAAATGGACAAGTGAGATTAGATTTTAAGAAAATAGATTAATATTTTGATGGTTCTTGAACCTTGTGATCTAAAGAATGTTTTTTCTATTAAAAAAAAAAAAAAAAAAAAATGATCATAGAAAAAAAACAAACAACTTCTAATGCAACTTTTGGTTGATATTCAATCAATTCTGGCCATATTTAGTCTTTATTATTAAAAACCTTTATAATAATTGAATTCTTGTGTCTCAAATTATTTTATGTTCAATTTTTTTTAAACATTTCTATCATTTAGTAACAAAATTTCAGATTATCAATAAGACTGGCTCTTACCATGTCTTATCCTGGAAAGACTACTTTTATAAACTATACTTACTTCTACCATACTAGCTTTAGTTTAAAATAAAAAATTAAAAAAATCATACTCTCTCAATGACCACTCCTTTACCCACAAAGCACTATAGTAGATCTGAGGACAGGTACTTATGACTAATGGTATTTCTTTGCTGATTATACACATGACCCTACACATGTTAAGCCCACTTTTCACAATACTGTGTAACATTCAGGCACTTTCCTTTTCTCCTTGCTTGAGGTCAACCAAATAACACCATTCAAAATACAAATATAGAAACACTTAATTCATCTGATTATGATTGGTATGTTCAAGTAATATTTTAAAATAGAAACGTGAATAACTGAACTTGGAAATGGAAAGGTTTTCATTTTTTCTTATTACATTAAGAAGAATCAACATGACTATTAAATCAGGAGATAAAATACAGACACACATACCATGAGACAAGGTTAAGGAAGTTGATATAGTAAACAATAAACATTCACTTTCTTTAATTATCTTTCTTTGATAAGAAAAAAATAGTGTTAAAAAATACTAAAGTTTGTTTACTTGCTTACACAAACACACTAAATAAAATTACAAGTGCACAATCAAAAAGCATACACACCCTGCATATAAATCTAATAAAATACTTAAAATTATGCAGCTGTAAGTAACCCAGTATTTGCATGCTAACTTGTTTATAGAATACATTTTTATACAGAGATTGATCAGGTTACAATTTTTTTCAGCCAATTTTTAAAATGGGGAAATTTCTAAACTTGCTGTAGAGTTATCAATACAGGATTTTAGGAATTAAATTTGAAAATTACATATGCTCACTTTTTTGTTTTAGTGATTTTTCTTATAAACTCTATACAATAGGAATTATTTTAATCCAGAGTGGTATGTTCTTTAAGCCAAAAAGTTGAGTAAAAAGGAGGAAAAATAGAAGTATTTTCAATACTCCTAAATACTCGTAATTTACTGAAGAAAACGGACTCTTCAGTGTGTAAAAATAAAAATTGATCTCGTAAAGGGGTTATGGAAGATAACTCAATTCTCACAAATGATCTAATAGGTCATTATGTTTAGAGAGAGAGCGAGAGAGAATAAAAACTTTTTCGTTAGTTGGCCAAGAATTTGATGCAATATCTATGGTTAGTTCGACGATATACTTTACATTCTGATTTATGTACAATGCAGGCATTTTAGCAGAGTAATGAAATAAAAAGAAAAAGTCATTTTGATTTGAATTCAAATTTAAAAAATATAAATTATATTTTTAAAATTTGAATTCAAGAAAAAAAAAAACAAAAAAAACAAACAATTGCCCAGCATTTGAAAGATAAGATTTAAACAAATATTTCATTAAATTAATAAATCCTCCCCACCAGTCAGTATTGAAATTAAAAGTTAAGCAGCAAAATGAAAAGATCTGCCAATGATACCCTTAAACTATTTCATATTTCAATCTTTTTTCATAGCTGTGTGTATATATATATATATATATATATATATATATATATATATATATATATATATAGCATTGCAATGTATACCCATATATAGAAGATACTGCTTATTGTCATTACTTTGGTGTCAAGGTCTTTTTAGATAACAATAACCAGCTGATTACATTAACCAAGATCCTCCTGGTGATAACTTAAACAGATACACCCCTCCCATATTATATATATATATATATATATATATATATATATATATATATATATATATATATAATGATAGATAGATGTGTGTAAAATGTCTATAAATAGAAAAATTCATTTAAACAAGTATTTACAAATAGGTTATTTGCATATCTTGATCCAATTTTGCCAAGCTGTGAAACTGCCCTACAGATGTCAAATTTAGATTTGAAATGTAATGTTAAAGAGCCAGTTTTCTCTATGATACTAACATTAAATTCTTAATAATAACAGAGATAGGCAAAAGTACTCAACAACAATAAAAAAACATCAAATTTGGACAGTTTTCATCCAGATGTGCAACAACTTAATAAAAATAGGAAAAAAATAATAGAAAAATTACATAGTTTGTTGCTTGAAATTCAATAAAACTTATATATATATATATATATATATATATATATATAAGTGGAAAATGCAACTGGAGTATTTAAGAATATTTAGAGTAACTCTACTGGTTTCATAGTACTATCATTTTCAAAAGTTAAATTGAGATGGAGAGATATATGGCTATATCATATTATACCCTGTGCCTCACACAAATATATAATAAAAATATTTTTTAGTGGATATTCATATTTGAGTAGAGACTTTATTCTACAGCCCTGAATAAATATAGGGTCTAATGAATAAATAAATATACTATTTAATGGAGTGGCTACTCATATATGAGTATCAACTAAAAATAACATTTAAGCAATAAAATAAAAAAATCCATCACTATATATATATATATATATATATATATATATATACACACACATACATACATATATATATATACACACACACATATTATAGGCAGCATATCATCATTTAAACAGGTTTCATTGAATAATATAGAAATATTGTGTCTATTTTTATAGTGATCCTTTCTAGTTGCCTAATCAGTTTCTTCTTGTTAAGATGAAATTCATCAAGGAAGACGTAATTTTTTTTAACCCAAGTACTTTCAATCTTTTCGAAGATCATCTTCATGACAAAGACGAACTTGTAACTGGTGAAATCTGCATTCTGTTGTGATGGTGAGTTTTAAAAACACGCTCTGTTATAGTTATTTTAGAATTTATCTGTTGTAGTTATAGTATTTTTTTAACTGAACAAGTGCTGATCCATATAAATAATTGTCATTTTTGTTGCGTTCATGTAAATTTGAATTTAGAATCCCCACCCTCCAAACCCTTCCTTTCTATAAAAAGTTACAAAACTGATTATGTATTTTGTTTCTAAGGCAACAGAGCTATAACAGAATCCAAGGGAGTAATGACCAAATATAACCACTGAAATTATAGTGATTACATTCAGATTAAAATAGTAACCATTGATCTTGTCTACATATTTGGACTATTGGTCAGAAGCCTTGATCTGCTTTCAGAATTTTCAACAGAAAATAGATTACTGCAAATTAAAAAAAAACAAAAAAACCCCAAAACTGACTATATATTTATTAAACTTAGAAGACAGAACTCTGTGAGGATCAAGTCACTACACAGTAGTCGACTAAACTAGCTCGTTAACCATTACACCATGTCAAGTAATCCAAAGCAATAACTAGAACTCAGCTGTTATCTCATAAGCCACTCAGTCTGAATTCACAGTTTCCAAAAATCAACTGTTATTGCTCTATTTGTAAGCTCAGCTTATTAAAAAAAAAAAAAATTAAATAAAAACAAAAAGTATTTGTAAAGAGTATGGCACAAAATTAGTTTTGTCTTTTTACTTTAGAATTAAAGTGAAATATCCATAGATGGGCATGGTTATCTTATTTGCATGACCTTCAGAACATAGGCGATTATGGCTCTCCTCAACTTCCTATCCTTTGTATCTCTTGCTACCTGTTCTGCCATCTATTTATACAGGTTCCTTATATAGGTTACTTGTTATTTCTCTGCCCCTTCAATGTCTTGTGAGTGTCAAATTCTCCAAGTCCTCTTTCCTCATTAAGTGTCTCAGAAATTTCTATTGTCTTTCTAAGTAATTGTTCATTTTGCTTCAGTTTTCCTTAAAACTTTCTTGTTGCTCACGTGTTTTATCCTCAGCATCATTCTGTAGAACTATATCTGCTGCCTCAAGTCTCCTTCATCTATGATGAAATTGGCCAACATTCACTGTCATACAGGATTGATTTTTTCTTTCTTTTACTAATGTTCACAAAATTCAAGGTTCAAGGGCCACTCAAGGTAGAGGGTTATTGTGTGGTGTTGTATTAGCATAAGGGCAAGAAGTGAAGTTCTTAGGGCTATGCAGGAAAGGTAACAGCTAACTCTAGATGTCAAGATTTAATTAGTCCAGAGTTCAGGTGAAAAAGTTAGGAATATAGAGTTGTAGAAAATTTTAGAAAGAACCAGAAACCCAATCCTAAACAAGAAACAAGGGATGAACCTCTACTCCTGTCCAAAGATGGGGATGATATTACATTGCAGTTCAGCAGTCTTTTCTTTGTTTCTGTTCATAAGGAAAACCATTTTTTAAAAGTCCTTAAGCTATCTAGATAGACAAAAATCAATTGAAGAACATTATTCTAATAAATCTACATATAAAATAAACAAAATAGCTGGAAGTTGTCAGTGTGTCACAAGGACACAGAAAACTTTAATGATAATTATCCCATTTCAGGATTTAAATAAGTAAATGAGGAAAAACAAAAAAAACAAAAAAAAACAAAAAACAAAGGTCATTTAAGAGATAGCTCCTACTAACACCTCATATATATATATATATATATATATATATATATATATATATGAGAGAGATGTTAGTAGGATGTATCTTCCAAAACATCTTTGTACAATAGTAGCCAAATAAAAAATGAAGATAATGAGACAAAGTGGAATTCATTCATTCATTCCAACCTGAAGATGCCTACAAACATGTCTGCAAGAAGCTTTTATACATTGTCTCATTATCTCTCTCCACAAATGTCAGAGACAGAAAGTTATGGGTCATACAAACTATCAATATGTGTGCTTTTACATATTAATGTCATTTAGTTTTACATACTTAGATTTTGGGCAAAACCACAATTTTTGTCCTTGGCCCATATGCATACGTTTGTGTATGGCGTTCCCCACGTTAAAATGACCTTGTGTCACATCCTGCAATAGTTGAGGGTGGGGGTACTGGGTAAATATACTTAGATATTCTTTTCTTTCATTTGAATACCTACATGCATATTATTATTATGATTATACGCTACTGGTGGTGATAACCCTCACCTCCCTTTTTAGAAAGTGATGCAACAAGTATTAAAAAAAAAAAAGAAAAAAAAAAAGAAGAGGTTGAAAAGGAAAAGAACTTCAATTTCCTTTTGTAGGAGTTCAGGGGGTTTGATGAAATGGTGGATGTGGTGGAGAAATCTGGTAGCAGGAAGAGAGATGAGTAGAAAAGAAAAAAAGAAAAAAAAGTAAACAGTACATCTAAAACATCACTTGCCGACAATATTCCTACTGCTCCCACTTCAGTCTTTCATGTGACCCCCTCCCCGCATAACTCAAGTTAGGCTTTAATGAATTAGGGGCACAGCAGTTTTGGAACAACTAAGAGTGCAGAAGTATAAGGAAGTGATGAAGAAGTGGGTGGTGGAATTGACATGTGGTGGTAGACAATGGTTAAGGGAGGGGTGGGGGCGACAGTGGCAGAAGTGACAGGTGGTAGGGGTAGGGTAGTTGCAAGGATGAACATGGTGTCAGGAATGATAACTCGGTGTGTTAAGAGTTGGAGCTTTTTTTGATGGTTTGATATTTTTTATTATGAAGAAAGTATTACAGATTTTACAAATACACTTGACATTTGTGGAGGTCAATGAATTAACTCTTATTAAATGTAAAAATAACTTTTTTTATTAATAAGATTCATTTTGTTTTCCACAGGTGATTTACTCATTTTCAAATGATGTCTAACATCAATATGATGGCTTCTAGATGAGCTAATCTTTTTTTTTTTTTTTTTTTTAAATGCACAGATTTTTCTTTTTATAAATTTGTCTGATTATTACACTAGGTCTAAAGTGTAATGTATTCAATTGAATCATGGTGTTAAGAAAATAAATAAAACCTGCCTTTTTTTCTCTTTCATTGGCAAAAAAAAAAAAAAATTCTCAGTTAAAAAATAAAATTTAAGAAACGTTATCATGGAAGATAGACAAAAACTGAAATTACTTTACTTATGCAATCAGTTAAAAATAGGTGGTTTCTGTCAGTTAATGAAAATAATAGCATTCCGATAAATCTTGTTCAAATATTAGAGCAGTTTTATGAATATTTATCTTCAAATTAACAAAGTATGTTTGAGATTAACAACAGTACTGTTAGTTAATCTCAAACATACTTCAGTACTGCCATAGACTTCCTTACAAAAAAAAAAAAAAAAACTTTTTTTTTTTTAGATAATTAAATGAAGTTAAATTTTGGTTTCATTTGTAGGATAACAGCCGTATTAAAAGAAATAAATTTCTGTAAGTTTTTAAGCATTTTTTTGGAAACAGTCACTCATCAAATTGCCATTATAGATGAAAAATGTAAACAATAAATGTATTAAAAAAAATAAAAAAAAAAAAACTCTTAAAAATTGATTGTTACATGTACGCATAAAAAAAAAAAAAAAAAAAAAAAAAAAAAAAAATCTGAAATTTTTTTAATCCAGATTATATTTTTAAAAATAAACAAAGCATATTTTCTTTGTAAATTGTTTTTAATTTTTTCTTATAAGGCAGCTAACAGGACAGAAGACATGCTTGTCAACAGGCTGCTTAAAATCAAAGGATGGAACACTCATATTAGAGAAGGAAAAAATTCTTCAACACTGGAGTGAGTATATTGGAGAATTCTTCCATGATGAAAGAGAACAAGCAGCAATACACGAAACTACCGACAGACCTGAAAACTAAAAAACCAAAGTAGAATCTGCATTGGCCAAATAGAACAGAAACTAAGCGACAGGGCCAGATAGAATTGTAACAGAAATGCTGACAACCTTAGATGAATTTGGCATAGACAAGATCATAGAAATAATAAATGAAATCTACAACAGTGGGAATACTGGAAGGTCTCAGCAGATGTATTTTCATAGCACTATCTAACAAACCAGGTGCAAATGAATGTGAACTCCAATGAACACTCAGCCTAATGAGCCACATAACAAAACTCATCATCTGTATTCTGATGAATAGAGCATGCAGCAGAATCAAGCCAGAGATAGGACAAGAACAGTGTGGGTTCGTTAAAGACACTGGAACAAGGAATGCAATATTCATGCTCAGAATGTTATCAGAAAGAGCAATACAAATACAGAAGGATGTGTAGCTATGTTTTATAAACTATGCAAAGGCATTCTACAAAATATGCCACAAGGATCTGTTGGAACTTCTCAGCAACCTTGATATATTCAGAAAATATATAATAATCAAGAACCTATACTGGCGGCAAACAGCATGCATGCACATTGAGAATGAGTTCAATGAATATACAAAAATAGAAAGGGGTGTAAGCCAAGGAAAAAAATTACAAAACCTCCTACAGAAGGTAGCAAAGGAGAGAGAGGGAAGAAGGGACTAACCATAAACTACAAGAAGACTGTATGCAAGGTCATCAGTAAAAGGATGAGCCTGAAATCTGATTTGCAGGTCAGGGACATTAAAATCAAGCAGGTGTGGCAGTTTAAATATCTGGGAAATGTTTTAACAGAAGACGGTAAGTGTGGCACTGAGATCCGAAGATGTATTGGGATAGTCAAGGATGCATTCCAAAAGCTGGGCAGAGAGGAGGATTTCTTTGGTGTCAAAGAGTACTGAGCTGCTATGTGACATCTGTCCTCCTATACAACAGCGAATGTTAGACGGTCTCCTCAAAAGATGAAGAGACTCGAGGCAACGGAGATATGGTTCTACAGAAGGATGCTAAGTATATCATGGACTGCGTGTGAGCAACGATGAGGTTTTACAGAAGATGCAAACAAGGAGGAAGCTTATACTTAACATAAGGAAGAGGCAGATGAAATTTCTGGTACACGTAATGAGAAAGAAGGGTGTGGAGAATCTGATGTTCACAGGTCAAATGGAGGGGAAAAGAGACAAAGGAAAGCAATGCATGATGTATTTGGTGGGCTTAAGCAAGTGGATGAAAGAACGTGGTCTGGGAGGGGGAAGTGGCAGAGGGACGAAACTTATTAAGAACTACAAGGGATAGGAGGAAGTGGAGAGCCATGACTGCCTATGTCCTGAAAGGACACTGCACATAAAAAAGGAAGAATCTCCCTTTATGCTTAATATAAAAAAATTAATATTCACAACCCCAAAATAAATTTTAATATATATATATATATATATATATATATATAGGGTGACCCAAAAAAACGGTAACTTCAATCCAATAAAACCAAGAGTGATAGAAGAAAAATATTTTATTCATAGTAATTGAAACTTTAAAACATGCCATTTAAGAAACAATGATGGAGTTTTAATTTTTTTTAAATTACCTCCTGTATGAATGCATTCTTGAAATCTGCTGTTGAGATTCCTCATTGACTACTGCAACATCTCAGCTGGGATACCGTGAATTTCATCTTGAATTCTAAATAGCAAAATGTTTACTTGCTCAAAGTCACTGTCTCGCAGTGTTGCCACTTGCTCATGTCTGGCAATACGCACTTAAAAAATTCCCGTTTTTTTTGGGGTCACCCTGTATTTGTTTAATATGTTTATAAATTATTTTTTTTTATTGATACACTTGAGTAAATGTTGTTTTTTTAATTAAATGTTATTACTTACATTTACCAGCCTGAATGGTTGAGAAATTTCATACAAAATATGCATTCTCCAATAGGAATTGAACCTATATCCTATACAGAACCATCATTAAGCCGGATGTGCTATGATTGTTCAGCCATAGAGTACTTTCAGTTAGCAAAGCTCAAATTACTGCTTTTAAACACACACCATCACCAGTTTTTCCTGATCTGTCATAAAATTAATATTTAAATGCAGTAATTCGAGTTTTGATAATTTGCAAATATGGCTCCAGGAGTGTCAACACAGACTGTTGGCTATTGTTGGTGGTAACTAGACTGCCACTTTCACAACAACACCCTTGTACACATCTTCAATGGTGCCACAAATGGGGGGTTAACCTGAGAGATCAAATAACATTCTTTAGTGTTTAGTGAAAAGAACAATTCTCATTTTCATGTGTAGTCTAGACCTGACGAGCAACAACTTTCAAAGAACATTGATCCTCAAACTTGACCACTGACATTATGATGTAGGGTACTGTAAGTTACTGTTAGGTGCTTAATAAAAGGCAGGGTCTTAATTGAGAGGGAGACAGAATTTTTCTCAATGGGCAAGGAAGCAATTTAATGAAGGTGTCAGAAAATTATTTAAGGAGTAAAATTAGTAAACAGGGTGGTCTTAAGCTCAGAGGGAATGTTGGAATATTTTTTTTTTTTTACAAAAAATAAAAATCGCCACCTCTATTAGGTACCTAAGTGTATAACTCTTGCTTGCCTCTGTGATGGGGACAATGAAAAGCATCACATATATATTGAGAATAGTATTCAACCCATTTAGCTGCTATTCTTAAAAATGGAGGGTCATGTACATCAGCAGAATAATTAATAGTTAATTACTTACTGTGCCTAAATTATAAAACAGTGCTGTATTTGATGGCATATACCTCCCCACAAAAATGGGGGTTATAAAATATTTCTGGTGTTACATGCAAAGATAAGGTATCTGGCAGAGACCCATAAACTACCAATACTTGTACCAAGCCTTATATACCGTTATAGTAAATGTAAATAGTGGGTGTCTTACATCTGGCCTAAATCTATAATCATCAGTCCTTGACGGCTTCAATTGTCGGTGGGCTAGCCTGAGTGTTTGAAACAGACTTTGATTTTTCTTTCTCATAATTCTTTCAATGGGCTTTCAGGTAGCTTGGTTACAACCATCCCCTCTCCAAGGCCATAATAATGTATAATACTGTAATATTAGATGTAAATAGGGATGGCTTCATGTTCCATCAAATCTGGCATATTTAGAGTTCCAAACTATCCATGTTTTCAGACATTAAAAAATGGATGACTTGAAATATATGCCATGCAGACAAAGATTTGCATGTTCAGAAGCAAACAGACGAAATGCTGAGTAAGGTGCTTCTACAGACATTTGGGTGATAAGAGTTGTTTTTTTTTTTTTTTTTAAATGTCATGCCACTTCATGATGTATACAAGTATACCTTTCCAAATTACTTTTCTCTATTATCTCTGAATTGCCATGGCTTCTTCAGAAAGATTGTGGAATTGTTTCCTGTTGACTTTTCCAATTTTGAATTCAGAGTAGTCTTTTCTTCTAGACTGACTATCACACAAGGTCAAAGAGTACAAATTAGTAAAAAGTGGATGTAACAGACATTTTTGTCTGTTTTTTTTTTGTTTTTTTTTTAATATTTTTAAATCAATTCATACCAAGCAAGGTGTGAATCAGGGCTGGCTCAAGGTACTGGCAACTTGGGCCGTTCGCCAAGACACCATCATGCTGCCATGTCATGTGTTTGGGATCTTTTTCCAAAACTAAAGCTTATAAAAAAACATACTTGTGGTCATTCATAACTCAAGACAGATTAAATTCTTTGGCTATTTTGTCAATAGAAAATGATCTTATAAAGAAAATTAGGTGTAGAAAGTGC